TATAGACATAAGTGTTTTGTACCCTGCAATATAATGTGACTTAAAATGTTTAGACCATAACAAATTTCACTGATAGTGAATTATAGTTTTGACTTACTTCATCTGTACCAACAAAATATAAAAACATAAACATTTTTGATTATAATAATGTCAATTTTTGACTAAGTAATTTATACCATACGCCAAAGACGTTTCATTGGGTGTATACACAAAAATAAATAAATAAACAAATAATAATAATAATAATAATCTATATTATAAAAGGGAAATAGAAATATTTGTGACGGGCTGGCTCCGAAACGGCTTGACTCCTGCAATGAGTTGCTCTATCTATACCAGTGTTTCCCAACCTTTTTACCACCACGGCCGACCACTTTGACAATATTTTATAGGTCGCGGACCACCTCAATTTTACTCAAACTAGGAAGACCTTTTTTTTTTTTTTGCTCATTGATAAGAATAAACAAAAATTTATTGGAAAATTTTTATTATTTTAGTGTAAATATTTTTCGCTGTTTAAAAAAAAAAATAATTTTTAATAGAAAACTAAGAAAGGTACCGCGGACCGGACCACCTATGACTGGCCCACGGACCACCGGTTGGGAAACACTGATCTATACTATAAAAGCAAGTCCCGATTTTTTGTAACGCATACAAATCCACACTATTCAACGTTGTTGAATTCAACCAAATTTTTACTGTTATACCTGACAGTCTGCTGAAGGTTTTAGTACCACTTTTGTTAATAAAAATAAATATAAAGTTCTTGAATAATTAAAAAACTATTTTGTAGCTACCCTGATATCTTCATGCTCACTGGAATGCATCCGTTTAAATTTTGTTTTTGTCGCGCCATTTTTCAGATTGGTTTTGAAGAGATTAATGACAGAAAAATCACAAATATTAAATAATAATAATCTTACAATTTAAATACCTAGCTGTTATATCAACTCAAGTCAATACCGACGAACCGTATAATGGTATGAATAATGAATAGGTTCGTGATTCGCAAATCTAATATAAACATTTAAAAATTTTTTTTTTTTAAAGACTCGTCTATCAACACAATGATTTTTATCCTTAGATATCCTGATGGACGATGCTAAATATCACAAAATATGTAATCAACTTTCTTTGTAAATATGAATACTGCTAAATAAAATAATAATTATTATTATCATGAGTTCAGAGTTATAATAAAACACGTTTCGATCACACACCACGAGTAGAATTCGTTAACACTGTTAGACTTTTTGTATAGCAAATAATATTGTAATTATATACCTACGTAGACAATGACAAAAAGCTAGAAGTCCCAACTCCCAACGAATAATATTTTTTGTAATATATATATAGGTACCTACACGGGCTATACGGCTATACTGACTTACTAAAATCGTTATTTTTATTTTCTTGATTTTTAATCAATATTATAATTATGGATATCAATTACAATATGAGATCTATTATCCCACTAAATGAAAATGAAAATGAATTTTTGTGGGGCTGTTCACACCGACATTTTTCTGGATTCAAATCGTTATACCGCTTGAGTATAATATATGTTAATACATTTCTAAAAATTAAAAATCAAGAAAGTTTACATGCCGATCCCTGACTAGGCAAGCGTTTTTCTTTCAATATCTACTTTAACTATAAGTACATAAACATTTGAAGTTAAAAAGCTTGAAAAAAAAATAGTTAGGTATCAGTATGTATTTTGGATATTGCTTATCTGTTATATGAATAGATTAAAGACCTTGTAAAGATTGTAGGATCTTGTATTGAATTCTTCAGCTTTTTAATCACAAATAAAATGTCACTAAAATAAGTCAACAATTCCAAATATTTATAAATATACCTAGCTCAAATAAGATCCAAAATATTTTTAAAATTGTAAATAGTTTTTTTTCGAAAAATACATGTTTTTAATTTTTAATTTTTTTGATATAAAAACTAAAAAATAGATCTAAAAAAACACAAATCATCGTTAAACCAATATATTCATCGTTCCTATATGAAAGTCAAATTTATTGGTTTTAACGATGATAGGTACTATGTGAATAAAATGTGAGAAATTAGATGATAGTACTTTCATGATATCCGTAGTTGTAACTAGTCGTCGTTGTACATCAATAGTAGGTACTGTGGTTTCTTGTTCAAATTATTTTAAAATTGCTTTTTACAAAATAAATGTATACTCAAATTGAGTTGTCATTTGTAATATTGTTGGAAATTGTCACTAAAATAAGTTTTTTTGTACCATAAAATGATTCGTACGAAATTAAGACAATACTGAAGACGAAAATTCGCAATCAGAACAACGTATAAACATAATATTACATAATACATATAGAATATTTCCTGGACAACGAAAACAACGCATATTAGGTTTGTAGCCAATTCTTTTTATTTCCTAAAAGAATATAATAATATGAATATGTTTTTTTTTTTTATTATTATATATTTATTTATACGCCTCAACTGCTAGGTTATTGGCGTTTTTAAAATATACATTACAATTAGTTTTATACAAACTATTTTAAATATGATACTTATATGATACTTATATGATACTAATATGATTATTATAATTACATGTGATATAATCTATGTTAAGATTTCATCTCTGGGTTGGGTGTCAATATTTCACATAGATTGTAGGGGAATAGGGGATTATAACTTATACCTAAGTCTATCCCTTGAATCATTCTGAAGGCATTGGGTTAGTATAGGGGTTTGCACTTAGCTTACGTCTTCATAGAACATTTGTTCGATTCCTTAATTTTTTACAGTTTTTAATTATAACAATATGATTACACGTACCTTTTGGGTTAACATTAATTTTAAGAGTTCAAACATTAAAATTATTTTTTGACTATTGTTTTTAATACTTGGTGCTATCCTTTAGTTCTTATAAAAATACGTAGTGTTAAGTAGTTAAGTTAGATTTAAATTTAAATGCATTTCCTGCATTAATCTCAGTAACAACCTCCCAATACCGAATCCTGAGAGCAACAACTAACAAAATGGCAGCAATCTTTATTAATTCACGTATTTGGAGTACTTTCTTTGTGTCACCTACCACGATTAAATATCTCTAATCTTCATGAGCCCGTGTTTTGGACTGAGTTTTAAAGACATATTAATCAAATATTAATATTTTATTAAGTTTGAGATTAAAATTATAAAAAAAATAATAAATTTCCAACCAAATTAATGATGACTGGGACGCTGGGTACAGTTATCCCAATCGTGATAAGGAATATGTTTTGTTACCAACGTCAAATATTAAAAAAAATTCCGTATGAGAATTTAATTGGGCTCATGGTGAGATACAGTACGAAACGTAGTCCGTCCTATAAATAATTATATCCATTGTAATTTTATAAATAGCTAATAGGCACTTTTAAATTATAATATAAATAATATTTATAATAACATTAGAATATTATATATTTATATTAATATCATTATTCATCATCACCTATGAATGGGAAGGGGTCGGAATATGGGGATAAATTAATAAGACCGTGATTTTATATAAATCAGTTAATCAGATGACCAAAATAACCAAATATATTTTCAATGTGGCGATAACGAGTTATTTGAGTGGTTTTAAATTTAAACTTTTTGAACACTTGCGTCTTGCACTTTTAACCTGCAGTATACACAATTTACATTTGACATTCACAATATAATATTTGTGACTGAATAATTAGTTAGTGTAGTGACTACACAGTACACAGCGACTATATGGAAACTTTTCTTATGCCGATACAAACCAGGTAATTTATTTATAATATAATAATATGTTAATAATACTACAATAAATAAAGTAGGTATTAGATAATTGTTTTGATCTTGGGTAAAATGTTACAAACTTAGGTTAAGCATGGCTAAGTATGTTTTTTTCACGTATTATTGAATTAAATTTGGTTACTATTTGAATATTTTATTATCCAAATATATAATATCATATAGTATTTTCATATTATATATACTTACTAATTTTATTACATAATTTTAAATAAGACCTTTTTATTTGGTATTAAATAAATTATTTAAAACATTATTATAATAATTATAAATCAATTACCTAGGTACCTATGATAAATAACAATCTAAAATCTTTTTCTTCATTTCAAGATTTCCAGTTAAAATATAATATTATAATAGCAGGTATATTACTAAATGTAAATCACACTTTTATACACAATACACTATCATTGTAGAATCATTACATTCATCGCTCTGCTTAGAATCTAAAATTGTTAATCTATCAAAAGGAAATAGTTATTCAAGCAATAAATATAAATAAATAATAAAACACAATTACAAAAAATCATATAGGTATAAAAAAGTTTATGATTATCACATACTGTCACAAAATATTAAGTATATTCATCTCGATATTCATATACCTAGGTAGTCTATAAAAAACATTTATTTGTGCCACAAACAAACCGTCTTTCAAGCAGGCAATTTATAGTTAAATGTTGTGATCCTGTAAAAATGTTAACAGAAAAAATAACTACAAACAATTTTATATTTTCACTTGTCAAATATTATCAAAATTCATAGTTGAAATATCTTATGGGAAATGGACCAATCTGTCCTTGAAAATATCCATCATTATGATGGCCTGCCCTCCTGAGGAACATTAGTATATCCCCATCAACATTCAACGTGTGTATTTGTTCACGAATTACTTGCGATTTTATAAACCTTTCCTGTCTTGAAGTTATATCTCTAATCTGTAAATTTTATATATTTTCTTGTTTATGAATCGTTTTTGTTTATATAAGAATTTCAATTTAAATCAAAAATTAAACTATACATATTCTATGATTTGTCTAGGATTGTTATTACTTATTAGTTATAACTAATAATTACTAATATTACATTATATATTTATTAAATACTAAATTTAGAATAAAGTACCGTATAATTTTGTCGTGCTTGGTGTAGTTCTACAAAACATTGATTTTCAATCAGCGTCAATTTCTCTGTAATAAGCAAAATATACCCTATATATTAGAATTATAGAAATATAATATTTATAGGAAAAACTCACGGATAAAATCCCATATATTGATATATTAGGGTGTTTTGACATTTGTGTTAACAAAGTGGAGTGAAACGATTCCAAATAATTATTGGTCCTGTATTCACGTCCAAAAATGCTCAAAATCCTTGGTCCAACTTGAGACAACCAGTATCTTTTAACGTATCCAATGAGGAAAGTTCTCAAATGTACCTCAATGTCAGAAAACTGTTGAACATAATTAATGATAGCCCTGAAACCATCATTAATATCATGTTGAGGACAATCCGGATGGCCTCTGTGTGCAGGCAAATGTGGTAGAGCTAATACCTACAATTGTGAAATAAAATATAAGAAAACTACTAAAATGCTCTACTACTACAATACTTATACAACCATTCTCAAAACTCTGGCTGCAATAGGGCTACTTTGAAAAAGATGGTACCCACTGTTCAATTTCCGCTTACTGTATCTTATGACTGCCTGTGAAATGAAATTCATATGCATTCGAAGATTGTGTTGAAAATGCCATTCAAAGTTTGTACTCTTTTTACTTATATATGCTTACCTGGCAAAAATGAAACCAACACCCCATCAATTTAGTTTCAGGCATTACAGTTTGAACTGCATTCATTAATGGCATTTCAAAATCTGTGATGATACACAGTTGTTCGTAATCTAATGGCAGCAAATTACAGATTACATTCAAGAGTGCTTGGTAGCTTTCTTGGTTCATTGAAATGAGGAATGCATATACCATTGGGAATGACTGCAAAGTACAAGGTATACCATTTACTTGATAAACTATGATTAGAGCGAATATTTATATGTACTAAAAAATAGTTTCAAAATATGACGTGCAAGAAAAAAAAACTTTATCGTAAATTAAAATTGTACGTCAGTAACTTTTTAAACCTTAAGCCCTTAGCTAACCTCAAAATTAACTCTCATGTCATTAGAGGTCCCTGTTTATTTTGTATACCACATACTGCCTCCCTTACATGTTGTTCTATTATTGTATACATTAATTAATTTTCTTTTCAATAGACAATACATTTTGAATTTTAATACAATATTATTATTATTTGTAGTAAATTCTACTTACTACACTCCTATACACTATCTGGAATGTGACAAAAGCACCCTTTCTAAGTTCTGGTGGACTTTTAGGAACTGTTTTGAATGTACCATCAATTCCAGCTACAACAACAGTGCCCAATTCTGCTCGATACCTCTCTATTGTTTCCATATTGGCAAATATAACACCTATTTGGTTGCCATCAACTATCAAAGGCCAATCACTTAGGAAAAATCTGCGTTTTATAAAATATATTAGTATACTTCATCATGTAAGTGATTGATTTGTTATGAATACTATGATTAACTTTTTGCTTTTATTATTAAACTATTAATATATTTTTTTTTTTACCTAGTCGGAAGTCTTCAAATCGTGTGACTGTACTTTTTGTGGATGGGATCATTTAATATTTGTACTAAATGATCTAGTGAGCTGGGAAGAGGGGGTCGCCTATAACGTCGCTGTCTTTTAACTCTATGTTCTGTTTGAAGACATGTATAGTTTTCTGCTGCTTCAGGGTGACTACAATTTCAATTTTTAAGTACAATGAAATGTATTATTATTTCATGGACCATGGCGACCATCGTTATACTTACTTGACAATTTCCTGATTGTAGACTAGTCTAATAGAAGAGGATAAATTTCCAGGTGAAAGGACTCTTTGAGAAACTGCTTCTCTAAAGAATGCTAATGGCTTATTTATTGTTTCAGGCCTATGGATATGCTTCCGGTTTAATGACAGGTAACCTGGATTGTTTAAGTTAACAATAGCTGTGGCAGGGCAACATGGCCAATCATTATGATTTTTTCTGTGGCAAACTAAATATCTTTAAGAACATAAAAGATAGAGGTGGTTATTTCAGTTGTAGTATTAGTAATAATTAATTTTATTTTTCTAATCATAATTTTCATCAGGTATATAGACTTACAAACGGTTTCGTACAGAACTTTTTTTATAGTACTTAAAATTTAAGTTGTCCACATAAACTTGAGATCCAACCTGAACTCCTGGAATTATGGTGTAAGTCTCGGGATTTTGTTCTACTGGAACTATGTTATTTAATTTAATATATATAAGTATTAATTTTTATTACACAATCAAAAAAAATATTTTAACAGAAAACCAATTTTTTTTAGACAAGACAACAGAGGTTCTAAATTAATTCACCTTCATTTTCTCCGTCGGATAAGACATCATCATCATCTCATCAGACTCGCCACAACTTAGTGTCTCTACTTCATCAACAATGTCTGGATATATAACTAAATTAGGTGATAAATAATTAAATTATTTTATAACATTTATATATTCTTATATATTATATATATTATGTTTAAATAACTAAATAAATAGGTTATTAAATGTAAAGATACCTGGTAAAAATTAATCGTGATCTAATAAATGTAAAGGTCTGTCCACTTGTTGATCGTTCATTTTTTTTATATAGTTTTAGAATAATTATACACTTAAACAATTAGGTTAAGTCAAAAATGTTTTGTCAAATAAAGTCACTTGTCATTTGTCAATGTATTAAAAAAAAAAAATTGAAATTACCCAAAAATGTTGCACTCACTCCATATAAATAACAACAATAGACCAACTAAAAATAGAATAAACTGTATCATATGATAAACCATAGTTTTTATCAGCCATTATCTATTGATAATGACTATCTGACTTGGTTAAAATGTTAAATACAAAAATATAATTTTCTGTGTTTTCTGAAAGTGTATTTTTTTAGAACTGCACCTAGAGTATTGTTTAATCTATTGAATGTGTTATGTTCTAAAACTTAACACTTTAGATTTTGGCCTGATAAGTATTCCATTACTCAAACATTACCTGAATCATTTAAAATAAATTATCCAAATTTCTGATGCCTTCAGATTGTACCTAAATTAAAGTTGAACAGCCAACTACTGTTGAGCAACGTGTTAATCATCATCATTTATATATTATGTATTATTGAATCACATCGTTATGTATCAAATTATATATATTTTTATTAATACCTAATATTTTTAAATTATAATCACCATAAATTACAAAAAAATATATATTACTTTTAAAAAAACTAAATGAGTACATTTATTAAATGATTTCAACTTGAATAAAACAAAACTTACAAATAAAATAATAGTTATACAAATAAGATAGGTATTAAAAATATTGTAAAGCATCAAAATTATCAACCAATTTTGGTTAAAAAAAGGAAATTTTATTAATTAACTTATTAAGAAATAGTTGATGTTTTTCTAGTGTAACTAGAATTGGTTCAATTATATTATATATAAATAAGTCACAAAAGTTCAAACCACTGAATTGCATTAACAATTGGAATTTAATATAATATTCATGTGTAATTTTTAAAGTTAATTTTCCAGTTTTCTTATCCCATTCCAAGTATTTTACATTTATATTTTTATTAGAATCAACTATTGGTTTGTCTTTACATGATATTGGACATTTAATTTACAATACCTTTTCTGTACCACTTTTGTTCAAAATAAGTCAATATTGGAACTTGCACATAGCCAAGGTCGCTTAATATCTACTATTCAACCACATATTATTACTACATCTTTATTGTATATCTGATTGAATGCTTCTAAAGCTATTGGTTCATTAATCATTTGACTGACCAATTGTACTATTAAACACTTCAATAATTTTAAAAATTATGAACTTTTAAATCAAAAGGAAATATATATATATCACAATAATTTAGAAAAACGTTTTTTAAAATAGAAAAAAAATATACATACATTTATATAATAATTTTCCTTTAAACAATTATTTATTTATTAGTATTTAATATAAAATATTTATTATTTAATTATTTATTATATAATATAATATTTTGTCTCCAGGTAGATGTGCGGTCTCTTTCAAGTAAAAAGAATACTTCGGGATTTTTATTTTCAAGGTTGGTACCACGATATGACATAGTTCTTATCATGATTGGGATAACTGTATCTTGCCGGTAAAACACCATTTATGGACATTTTGGTAAAATGTTTGGTTTTCAACGTTGGCACAATTGATCTCCGAACAATCAAAATTGCTGTTATCACATTTCGAGATATCTGATCTACCCCCCCCCTTTATATTGCGATTCCCGGTCCTAAACTGTTTACAAACAGATAAGAACTAAGTTCGGTTGCAATATTTTGTTGTTTTTATTTTTTAAGTATTCGATTTTACGTTGTGTTTTCGTATTTTCCTTAAAAACTACTTTATTGTTTACGGTGCATAATTATTAATTAATCCTTCAACATGACTGTGAAGAAAAAGGTTAGTATATCGTTAGTTTAGTTGACAATAACTTAATTTACTATCGACAATATAGTATGATGTTCATCATTATTTACTTTTTCCAAACATCAATTTCATAATACAAAATTAATAATGGTATTAATGAAATCATATATATTTTATCCTAAGCCCTTCTTATTAGAAATGTTGTATATGTCTATTTGACTATAACACATGTAAATATAAATTATATAATCATTTTTATAAGGAATTATATTATAAAATGTTTACACAGCATAAAAATGGTTAAAATTGTGTGGATTCATAAATTTTTGTAAATATAAAACATATTGAGAATACATACTTAATTTCAAGTTATTTTACAATAGTAATTGTGTTAATGCAATAAAATAAGTGGTGTTTACAACTCAAAGTTTTAATGTAAATATGGAATGCCTTGTTGAAAAAATACAGGTAACTTATTACAATCGAGTCTCCATAACTCGATTTTCAACTGTTTGCTGTAACATGATTGTTATCCTCTAATAATTTATTGAAGACTGCTTTATTTTGGTCCATGTTATTTTATTCGAATACCTATGGTTATATCCATCTAGCTAAAAAAAAATAATCAATTAAAACAAATTAAAACACAGGTTTCATCTTCTTATTTCATATTATTACAGTGGATTCCGCCTAATGTGGGCACCGGTTAATATGAGCATCCTCGTAATATGGTCAAAATGGTCTGGTCCCAATTCCAATGTATATTAACTAACTAATTTCTGTTTATATGGCCAACCGTTAACGTGGGTAAATGAGTTTAAGGCAAAAAGCGGAATCCACTGTATAAGTAAAATACATTGGTTTTTTTTTTTTTAATGAAATGTATTCAGTAGGCATAGTTTATAGTTTTTTTTTAATACGTATTTAATTTGTTTCTATGTAGGTTCTTGATATCAATATTTTGATAGGTGAATCATGTTTATTTTGTTATTATTTATTCCTAGTCTGATAGGACTAATACTTATTAATTATTGAATATTGCTATACACCTATACAGGTACAACAAATTATAAATAAAGTATGTGGCTGGTTAAAAGATTTTTTTTTCTTTCTAATATTGTGTAAGTAGGCAGTGGCGTGGTGAACATTTATAAACCTTGATGCCCAGCATATATTTCAGTACCTACCCCTTCTTTATCCCCTTAATATAATGTATAATACATATAATTATTATGGAACCGTAAATATTTAAATTTTTTGTTGTATGTTATTGGTTACCATAATGTACCCAACCACCCCACCCCAAAAAAAAAAATTCACCATGACGCCTAGGCGTCATAAAACCCCATTCACCACGCCACTGTAAGTAGGTACCTATTTGAAGTGCATTTTACTAACTTGATCAATTCTTAAGATTTGGGTTTTTATAGGTACATATTATTATATTGTATTGACCGTACCTATATTGTTGTAAAATCGTAATCATTTAATTATAAAATTAAAAAATATATATTTAGTAGGTATTTCTTAATGTTTTATATTTATTAAAGCATATCAATCATATCAAATAGTTACATGCTTAATTTACTTGCTCCTTATAAGAAAAAATAATTGAAACTAATAGTTCTTCATGCTGTCCATTTTCCAAACTTAATGTTTCTTTAAGGTCTTTGTAAGATAATAATCGTACTATAATCAAATAAAATCCAATCAACCAAAATAAAGAAATACCTATAAAATAAACAACAGTTCTTTATTTTTATATATTTTGTGTTTAAATTTTTTACTTTATTATCTTTAAAAAAATAAGTTTATTTAGTTAGTAAATACATTTTTATTTATATTCCGTTTGCCAAGAGAATATGGTTATACCAACCAAAAATTGTTGTATGCCGCTGCAAAAACTTACCTTCCCACTTCTCGCTCCCAGTTGTGTGTGTTAAGCACTCAAATTCTCTCGGAAAACAGAGTTTAATAATGGTGAATACTAATTTCTTTGTAAACTCTCACTAAAAAAAAAATAATAATAATAGTTACCTTGTTTCTTGTTAAATATTTTAGATTTTAATTACATTCTATGTCTTATTATTATTCTATTTTATTTTAGGAGACTGGATCTTCAGTAAACAAGTCATCAACACCACCTAAATCTACTGCACGTAAAGATGCTTCCAGTACAGATTCCAGTACAAATAGTTCTAGTAGTTCATCATCATCAACATCAGGATCTGATTCCACAAGTTCATCTGATACTGAAAATTCATCTACCACTGAAAATAATTCTTCTGAATCAGAAAAACACAAGAAATCACCAAAGAAAAAAGCTTCCACTTCTTCAGAACCAAAAGTCTCTGAACTTTCTAAAAAACAATCTTCACCAGACAAATTTAAAAACAAAACAAATACCGCTCCTAAATTAACAGCTGCTATCTATACTGATTCAGATACAGATGCAGAGACAAAAACCAAAAGAAAATTTCCACCTGTGAAACCTAAAGCTACTGCAACAGTTGCAGCAGTTTTAAAATCACAGGATAAAAACAAAAAATCTGATGTTAAACGTAGTCAAGGACCGAGGTCTAAAGCCACAGCTATCACTGATGGAGTTAAGAAACCTGACTCAAAGTCAAAAAGTATTTTCAGCCCAGATAAGATAAACAGTAGTGACAGTGATCCTCCACCACCAAAACTTACGCCAATGAAAAGTGCTACTACACAAAAAGCATTAGTAAAACCCAGACCAAAAGCAATGGCAAAATTAAAAAAACACTCCCCAACAACTAAAACATCCACCTTAACATCAGCAAGTTCTGGTTAGTATAATATGCTAATATATTATAAGAAAAAATGTACTTAGTTACCAATAACTAAAAAGAAACATGAATCTCAATTTTTTTAATATTTTTCTTTAAATTCTATTGATTGTTATTTTTTTTTAAATATTTCTGAAAGGCTTGGATCATATTTCTGTTTCTATATTTGATATTAATTTGTTCTTCTTAATCCAAGGCTTAATCTATTGTTTTTGTTTTGATTTTCTAACCGTAGGCTTTAAGTAATTTAACCTCCCTCAGTGGTTGGGAGTAGCATGCTAATTGTAGCGACTCTACTTTAGTAATAATGATTACCGTAGCGTCACTACAATACACCTACTGTAGCGACATACTTTAGTGCGCTAGTAATTTTTGGTTAGTGTTGCAAAAATTACCATTATTTTTTTCGCTACTTTCAACCTGTTTGGTTATAGTTAAAATAGTATGATAACTATTATAATTATTTATTTATATTATAATAATTAAGAGTATATTAATGAATTTAATTAGTTTAATCCATGATTAACTTGTATAGTTTTTTTTTTGTTTTTTTATTAAAAGAATAATTACAATCTACACAAACATTTTATACAATAAGTAATTTTTTTGATGGAGAATAGCGTTGATATAACAGAGATGGAAGGTACTCAGTAGTACCACCCGACAGATCAAGCAAGGAAATCTCTAGGCCAAGATCGTTTCAGTCTTCTTCTAGGATTATCGGGAATTGTACAAGAAGACAGACGTTTAATTAATGGATTAGTATGATGATTTAACTTAGAATGAAATGAGAGGAAGTGGGATTTGGTTAGCTGAGAAAGTGTGGGAACGTTAAAGTCTTTATGAAGATTGGCGTTTTTTATATACCAAGGGGCAGAAGCGATTTGATGGAGACATATTGATTGGAAGGCTTGTATAGTTTGCAGGTTTGAGGGTTTCGCGGAGCCCCATATCTGGATGCCGTATGCCCATACAGGTCTTAAAATAGCTTTGTAGATTAACAATTTATTCCTGATGTTTAGTTTGGAGTGGAGAAGTGGACAGAGCGAGTAACTCGTATAGTTAAAACCCGGCCAGTCATCAAATGTTAAATCAGTACAAACTATAAACTACCAATTTTCAATTTGAACATTTAAAAAAAATTATTGTGTGCTACTTTTTTTTGGGGGAGTAACTGTAGCGTTAGCGCTCTACAAAAAACTGGCAGAGTCCCGACCTCCAACCCCCCTCACCCCCTACTAGATTATTATTTCATCATAGAAGTAAACTATTATTAGGTATTGTTTTGAACATTTTCATTCTAATTTATCCATCATAAACTGTATAATAGTATGTTACTCATAATATAACTTACAATAAAAACCATTACCTAATATTTATTATTTATTTATTTAGAGTCATCAGATACAGATTCATCTTTAGATAAGAAGGTTAAAAAAACAACACAAGAACAACACAAAAAGAAACTTATAAATAAAACACCGCAGCCTGCTACAAAAGTTACAAGTGCTAACGAATCTTCATCTAGTGGTAAGGTCTCTAGAGGACGTGGCCGGCCTAGAAAATATCCAGTTCCAGAACCAACTAAAAATGGTTCAAATACTAATTCCAACTCAAAAGCCAGTCAAGACCAAAAACTTGTTACAACTAGAGGATCTACCAGAGTTAGTCGTATATTAGCTGCTAGCCATAGACCTACGACTGCAACAGATTCTGATTCAGATACAGGTATATGGATACATATATTTATTTTTATTATTAATTAATTAATAGACTAATATAATTTTTTATTTTAGGAAGTAAATCAACTAGCACCAGTTGCAAATCACCTACTAAAAAAGCTCGTGACAAAACCCGCAAGCCACTAAATTGTAATGATAAGAGATTGAATAGTGGAGGGCTTGTTGAATTAGAAGAAAGACTTTGTCCAGTTAATGGTTGTGATTCATTAGGTCATCTGAATGGCTTATATGAGCGTCATTTTACTTCAGAAGCCTGCCCCATGTATCATAGATTAACTATTAAACAATGTCAAGTAATATAAGTGATAATATATTATGTTTTCGAATTATTATATAAACAGTATATATTTGCTTATAGGAAAATTTATCTGAACGACTAAAGAAAAATGAAGAACGTTTAAAGGGTACATTAAAATCTAGTTCAGCCGAACAAAAGAACTATCGAGATAAAGTAAAAGAAATGAGAAAAGATATTGATGATAAAAAAAAAAATGAAACAAGTAGTGATACTTCGCAAAGTGACCAATATGCTGGTAAAGATTTAGAGCCTGATATACTCAACTGCTCTAATATACCATCCTATGATCTTAAGTTATTTCAAGAAGCACAAGCAGTAGCCAGTGAGAAAATTGTTAGTACCTTTTTTAGTACCAATACAAATAACCAATTTTAAAAATGTTATACAATTAGTTTTTTTTTTCTGTTAAATAATTAAAATAACTGAAACAATACTGAAGAGTGAATCATATTATTATTTTCTAGTATTTAATGTTTTCTGTGAATGAAAATATATTAATTACTTTTAAATAAGTAGTTAAATAGGTACAGTGTACCTGGTACACATTAGGTACATAAATATATTTTCTCGTGATTATAATTTGAAATCTTAGTTAAATGTAAATTACTTAATGAAGGTGTAAGTAAATCAATATCTCTGTTAGGTTTTTTAGGTAGATAGAAATTTTTACTAATAAGAAAGATTAATATACCAATAAATATATTTAATTAAAATTATGGGTTGTATATTGAATGGTCAGGTACATTCTATATTCTCATATTTTACTGAGCATTTCATAAACATATTAAGTTATATATTATGATTTTGATTGTTATAATTTTCACAATTGAAATTTTTAAAAATTCACTTGTTTTATCCACCAGGTAATAATAATAATAAGTACTAAGTAGCAATGCAACTAGCCTTTACAGAGTACTTTTCTCTGAACTTTAAGGATTGTAACTTCTGGTTTAAATTAAGGTATCATAAAGAAAAAAAACAATTTTCTTAAAATCTGAATATTAAAAAAAGCTTTCAAGTTAATACACACATAGATTTTCTTAATACTTTTTTTTAAATGTTAAGTTATCAATATTTAATCATTTGTAATCACACTCTATAAGTACATAATTAATTTTACTATAGTTAATTTGTAAGAGACACAGTTTTGCTATTGAATCATCTGGAGATCTGTGTTTACAAAATATAAATTATTTTTAATTTAATTGAAACACTTATATCATTGATTTTATTTTTCAATAATCCAACAATTACTTTCAAGTAGCAACTTATCAAAATGTTTTAATTTTATCACTGATTGTTTGATCATTTGTTTAAAGATCAGGTCATGGATTTTATAACTTATAACAAAACAAAAAAACTATTAATATATATTAGACATTTCTTTTATCATACATATTATTAATGTTAGGTGATTCAATTAATTACTTTTAGGTATCAAGTTTTAACTTTTTTAAAAATTTATATTTTTAAATTATTCATTATCAAAATTACATTTTTTAGTTACTACTTTTAAGTGTATATTTTTTTGAATGGCAATATACATTTTTAATATCATTTTCTGAAGCAGCATTATTTCTAGAGTATTTCGATACTTAAAAAATCAAATTTTGAATGATTAGTTAATTAGTTATAAAACTTATGAGTATTTTAAGTTTAGATATTAAGCTGAGTAATATGGCACAGGGGTATCCCTAAAAATGATGGTACATTGCTTTGCTAATCTATACTTAAAATACTTATACTTATTACTAGAGTATAGATTTTAAAGCAATAATAAACTAAAGAAAATTACTGTTCGAAATTCAATTATATATAAGTACTCCCGAATATATTCTGCTGTGGAATGTGATACAGTGATTTTATTGTAAATCTTAATGTATTTTTTTTTTGTACATAATAGGAAGAAGATTTAAAACAATTACCAAATTTCAAAGGCACAAAGTATTTAGAAATGGGAAAATATGAAATGGAAGTTTGGTATCAAAGTCCATACCCAGAAGAATATACACAAGTACCAAAATTGTACTTATGTGAATTCTGTTTACATTACATTAAAAGTAAAACAGTACTATTTAGACATAAACTCAAATGTGTTTGGAAACATCCACCTGGTGATGAAGTTTATCGGTAAGCAAGAAATTATTTATTATGTAATACAATTTAATTAAAATTTGATCAACTGTCTAGTTAATTAATTTTTAAATATGATTTTCTCTATTTTTGGACACTATTTTAGATTCCGAGAGGAGCGATAAATGTATTGATATAATTGTAATTAAAAAAAATTCCTTTGGGTCAAAAAGTTAACAATGTAGTACAAAGTTTCTTATAGTTTTTTTATAATCAGACTTCAAAAATATTAAAGATATACAGACACAATTTTTTTAATAATTATTAAAAGTTAAATTTTGACAAAGATCATCAAAATAATGAAAATTTGCAAATTATTTTTTAGTTAAAAATGTTTAACATGTTTAATTTACAGCTAAGGATTAAAAATTTAAAACAAGGCTTCTCATAAGTAGTTCATACTGTATCAACATTTCTAAAACAGTTTTTAGAGGGTACTTGAAACTTTTTAAGAATATTATTATATTGTATACACTATGATATTTCAAATACAATTTTTTGGCAAAAATTAATTCAACTTCTGTATTACTAATGACTAATAGTAAAATAAATTACTCTAACAGCAATTATATCATAAAATATACATAGTAATATATGTTGATAGAACGTCCCTGCTCAGAATCGTTTTCCATGTACATTGTACAATGATTTTATATCATTGAATTGAAATTTAACATATCCCATTACAGTGAAACCTTTCTAGACACTTACTGTACAGCAGAGCAGTACCCACTTGCCCATTTTTTTCTACTTATTTTTGTTATTTTCTAATTTTCTAATTTATATATTTTAGGAAAGACCGTATATCTGTTTGGGAGGTTGATGGTAAACGATTCAAAATATTCTGCCAAAATTTGTGTTTACTTGCAAAATTCTTTCTAGACCATAAAACGCTTTATTATGATGTAGAACCATTTTTGTTTTACATAATGACTACTCAGGACGAAGATGGATGCCATATTGTTGGTTATTTCAGTAAGGTAAGCTTATCTCTACACCATTGGATTTAATTAATGATAAGTAGGTATGTACAATATGTCTTATATTATATCAATTATTATTACTAATAATAATAATAATATATAAATTTCAATTTTCATTGATCTATATATTAATAAAATAGGTGTATGTTGATCTAAACATTAAATTAAAATAAAATCAATTTAGATTTTTACTTTATTAATAATTTTAGTTTGAAACTGTTAATTTGGTTAAAATTATGTACTGAAATTTTGCCCACTTAATTTTTCTTATGTTTATACAGGTACCTGAGGTGGTATCTATATCTTGTATTTATCATTTAAAAGTAGTTAAATTAAAAATATTTAATATTAAGTCAATTATTTTTTTGGTTAAACTGTTGATTATTATTATTATAGAAGTGTATCTTACAAACTTCCATAGTAATATTTTAAATAACAATATTAATATAGCATTAACTTAACCCTATCAACAAATTAACTTAAACTCTTATTATTATTTTAAGATAAAATTGGTATACACTATTCTGTGTGTTTTTGCTATCATTTTAGTAGTAGTATAGCTGTAAAAACTTTTATTATTGTTTTGTAACATGACAGTCGAGTTGTATTTAAAAATTTGATTATTGGAACAACAAAACATTATACCTTTAAAATTTAGATGTGTACTAGCTACTCTATCGTTCACGCCTTTGATTATTTTACTTCATTCATCTCCAAATAACATTTGTAACACCTTATGTTTGCTTAGGGATATAAAGTTACTAAAATTCTACATATTCACTATACATTTTACTGTCATTATGTCCCTTATGTATATTATGTTTTATATATTTCTTTTCTTATACATCCTTTATTCACATGGACAATAAATAAACTATATGATAAGCTATTTATGAAAATTAACATATTATAATATACTATATCTTGCAGTCTTGTAAAGAATACTTTTATTTTGTATTCAGAATACATATTCGAAAAAATGAGAATTAAGGTATTCAGAATACGTATTCAAATAGTTCTTATAAAATATTTTCAGAATACATATTCGAATACTTTTCAAAGTATTCAAATACTATTAGAATACTTTTTTTCACAACTAGTTTTTGTCAGTTTTTGAATGGTTGGTAATTAACATTTATTAATTAATAATTAAAAATACATCGTAATCATAAGTTATTTATACATTTTGACCACATATTATAATATGGCTGATACGGGCCATACAGGATACAATACATTGGTGTTTATATAAATAATCATATCATGGGCCAATATTATATTTCGTTCAAAGAATTAAAAAATTAATGTTCATGATTTATGATATGTCTTGTCACAAATTTAAAATTATTTTTCTGGATCGGAAAAAAGAATTTTTTAAATGAATAAAAAAATACAAATAAAAGTATTCAGAATACGTATTTGAATACTTTTTATAAAAAAGTATTTAAAATAGTAGTCGAATACAAAAAAGTATTCAAATACTTATTAAATTTACTTAATAAATGTATTCGAATAATTTACAAGACTGCTATCTTGTATGTTTATCTTGCGTACAATTTTGATTCCCAATTAAATTAGTAATGGCGATCGGTTTTATTTTGCTTTGATAATTATTAACATATAATTTCAATGTGGAATTTTATCCACTTCCAAAGTTTAACATGATTAAATTAATTGTGATGATTTATCTCTTAATTGTCTAGCTGATGCTATTGGTATGCACAAAATTGATTCAGCAACCTTTTATTGGTTAGGTTAGTAATATTAGCTTTTAGAAGTCCAGCTGCTTGGTATCAGTTATTGAAAGCTTATTTTTATAGCTTTACATTTCAAAGCCTAAAAAATCTGTTATTGCACTATACTCGGTCTAGCGGGAGAACACACAGGTCTGTACAGTGTACATCCCCTTGTGCTACTCTACCATCATGTCTAGTTCCACACTTCCACTAGGAATGATATAATCGCATGAGGATGCATAGAGGAACATATTTTCGCCGGTTCTCTTGCTTTGCAAATGGCATTTTTCTTTGGAATTTTCTGATTATCGACCCACATCTGCATCGTAATGCGTTAATCACTAGCTGAGTACAATATTAACATTAGCGTAATTTGAGGGTGTCAAATTTTCCAAAGACTATTCGGCCTGGTCTTGCATCGAAATTTTACTCCTCGCTATACCACAGTAAACTTCCCGTCGTCAATATGGTGAGTTCGTAAGTCTGGAAAATACTGAAATGACGGCATTGAATTGAATATATATGACCGAAATCCAACGATATACAGGGCGTATTCGATATATCCATTACGATCACCTGCACACAGCACACCAATCACACGACGTAATATCGGCAAACCGTCATTAAAACTATAAACTCAATATTGAATATATATATGTATATTATATTATTATAATAATATGCACCGCCTGTGTTTAGCGAGACATTTATACTCCTCGATCCTCATCTCCACATAGTTGAATAATAATATATAAAGTGGCCGGATGAGTAGACGTTCGCGAGTATAGTAAAGGGTTTTCCCATTCCCTCCACCCAACCCCTTACACCGTCGTCGAGCTGCTCGAACCGACGGTAGAGTACGTGTGTCTAGCCATCATATTGTGCGTGTACCTCCACTGCTACCAGTCGACGCGGCGGTTGCGTGTCTACCCCTCGCCTAAACCAACGAGCACCGAACCGCTACCTCACCACACCAATCACCACAGAAAATGGGGTTGTCCCAGGTCATGGACCCGGCGCGGGTTCGTTCAGTAGTCCTAGACGGTCCTTGTTAATAATTATTATTATTCATATATACTTGGCATTTTTCGAAATTCGCACGGCGCCGCGTACTGTTATATTATATATATAATATGTGTGTGTATAATATGTCGTATTATGATGATCACGCCCGGCGACGGCGCCAGTGACGTATATTTATGTGGGCGGATGAGGATTGGGTCAGACGCGCCCCTATATAACTTTTTTTGTTATTTATTATTTTCGCGTCTTATCAGTAGATTACACAGTGGATGTCCCTAATTTTAGTTTTACCATTTTCTATAGGTACACCAATACACCATTACAATTTACATTTAAAAAATAATTGACTCTTTTCAAAATACTAGAAAATTTAATATAGCCTTTAATTAGGTGCCTCATAAGTCATAAGTTTTTGTTAATGAAAATTTAAAAAAAAGTCTAGCTTAAATTCACAAGAATTTTTTCAAAGATTTTAAAGATTAGAATTCAAAATCACAAAAATTTAGAAATTACTTTGAGTCAAAAAATGTTTCTAATTGTACCTAAGATTTAAAACATTAATACAAGATTCCTCATAAGTTTTCATAATAACTCAATCAAATAAATTTATATCTATTTTTACCGTTCACACCTTCTATGCTAAGTCGGTATTGACTCAAAAGTTAATCACAATAATACTTTTATAATATAATTGATATAAATATTTAGGTGCCATTATAATAATTAAACGTTAGTATAATATAATAAATGTAGTGTTTTCGGAAAAAATGAAATCAATTTACCGTATTTCTAATAGTAAAAAAAATTACCATGCTAGCAATACAAATGTATCATAAAATATAAATCGTAATATAGGCTGAAGTTCTGAATCGTTTTTCGTATGCAATGATATTATATCATTGATTTCAAATTTAACACATACATTATAGTAATACTTACTCAACGGAAATGTTCTCTCTATAGTTGACAATCATTCATAATACAACAAAATGGTTACCCTACTTTTCCTTTTTTTAATTATGCACCACTAATATATGTGTATTATCTCAAATGTCATTCAGTGTGGTCAAGTGTATAAAGATCCATTGGGTCTCCAGAATATCAGACATTTAGTTAGAATGGGCACCTTTCAACATTCTAACTTCAACCCTTCTTACTTAAAAACATATAGTTCTTCAATTTTAAATGAATAATACTGACAATAATTATTAATTTTTTTAAATATTATGCACAATGGAAAATTTAATATAGAAATATGTAAAAAACTTCTCAACATTTAAAAAATAATTCTTGTCGTTATCAACTTTTTTTGTATTGGTGATATACCTATATATACCAATAATTTACATCCTTTAAATATTATAAAACTCATAACGTTTTCAATTCATAATATAATATTATAATGTGTTATTTATTTTTAAAGTTATGAGAGTTTTACGCAAACCACGATACATTATTATTTTAAATTCGTAAATACTAAATACTTGTATGAAATACTATATTATATTTATTTAATCTTTAATAAGCTGCAGTTTTAACCATGTAAACTTTAATATTATTTTTATTTTTTCCATTAGGAAATTAAAATTATTATTTTACAATAATACTAAATTAATACATTCATAGTTGAATTACTGAACGAAATCGTAAATATAATATACAGAACGGTATCAAACTAAATATTTTATCATTATCATTATTTATAGTTTCAACGATATAGTAGGTTCTCAATATTTCTTTTTGCATACGTGATATGTATTCATATTATTTTTTTATATTATTATTCCGTATTTCAAAATTCAAATTAATAATAGATGAGAAGTTGAAATAAAATACGAGGTAAAAAGAAAAAATGAATATAATATAGGTATATGTGTGTGTTGGCCGTTGACTACTCTTCTCGCTACGCTTACTTTTATGTTAATCATTACTATGCGTCTATGCTCTATCCAGCAATAGAACACACCGATTCTGTGCAACCTCACTCGATACCCTGCCATCGAGACCAGTTCCAAATGACAATGTGTCATGTGTGGATGTGCAGAAGAACCAAATTTTTTTGGGCCACGGCGTGTCTTCATGTTTGACTGCAAAGTATACAGTAGGTATCTGGTATACCTGTTATTATTTTAAAAAGTACTGTACTACTGTCTCCACTCTACGATTCCAATCATACTCTAAAAATCGACTTAAAACTTAAATCAATAAGTGATGAATCAAAAATCTATTCCATAACCG